TGAATATGGAGCCCAAGCCGACCACAACGCATACTACGGGAGCGGCAGCGACACACTAATTGGTACGACGGAGATGTAGCGTATGTCGCATTGATGTCGGGCGAGTGTTGGGGTCACGAAGTGCAGAGGTCGTCACGATGTTTGTCGAGAAAAGCTCAGTTTTGAGGGCGTTCACCCGTAGGGCCGTTCCAAACCGGGATCGGATCGGATCGCAGGCCGCACGGGGCAACGAGGGTTAGGCGACGCCCTGGTGAGGTGCTTTTGGTGGTTCCGAACCGGATCGCAATCTAACCCGGTCTCGCGTCATGGCTACAATTTCCTTGGAAGTTTCCCTTGCGTCAGCGCTCCTGTTGCGAGCTTCGTTTTGCGTGTTCATTCGGCTTCCTGATAGGACATTTTTCTCGTCCATAGCGGCGCCAGCAACATGGATAGTCAGTGCGGCGCTGCTGAGCCGACGCAAGCAGCCTGTGCCCGTGCCAATCTCGGAGTCGTACGATGACTGGTCGCTGACCCAGCTCAAACTCGAGTGTACGGCGCGTAAGCTTAACGTAGTGAAAAACACGAACAAGGAGGGTCGTATCGCGCTACTGAGCGCGTACGACAAGAACAAGAAGGCCATCCAGAAGAAGGTGCAGTAGCAAAGGAGTAACGTGAGGCGCGGACAAGAAGCGGAGATGCAACGAGCCAAAAATTGCATGTTTCGCCTGCTCAACGTGCTGGGTTCGGAGCGCTTCTTTCACGCCTTCCTGACATCTGGGGGCCAGCTCAGCCGGCGCGAGCTCGACCAAGGTGGATCGACGTTTTGGGAGGATATAGCGACAGCATTCATTGAGGACAACGTCGAGTTTGACAGGCTGGTCTCCCCGGACGAGCCCATATTCGAGGGCATTCAGCCGTCGCAGACGGTAGCCCATTCGGGCTCCAAACTCCACAAAATGTGGCGCGACATGAGCGGCAAGTTTGCTCGGGCAGAGGCGGGATCGACGAAGTCTGGCGAGCATAGTGACGACGTCTGGGAGTACTGTGGAGGAAAAGCAGACGTCTTCTACTTGCACCATTGGTGCGAGCATCGGGGTGCTGGTCGCGAGTTCTGCTCAGCAAGCATATACTCGGACGATGAGGACGACTCGCAGAAAGAGGGCACAAGCCGAGCCAAGAAGAGCAACCCTAAGCGTCGAAACAGCTCACAGGCCGAGGTGCTGGCTGCATTAGCGGAGAGTGTCAGTGCAATCGCGTCAACGAACGAGACCAGCGAAGCCCAAGAAGCCACGTGGAAGGAACAAGCTTTGTTGTTGCATGAAAAGAGGATCTCACATCGACTTGGCATGTTGTCCGAAATTTTGGAGCGCACTGACAGCAATATTTTCGAGCTGAAGAAGCACATTCAAGAGCACGAAGATGACAGTGACGAAGACGAGTTTGATGCCGAAAGTTTGCTGGTGCAGGAGCGTATGAAGCACCAAAAACTAAGAGATCAAATTCTGGAACTGGAAAGCGAGGTGGTCGCTAACGTGCACGACCAGCAGGTAGTTTAACGCGTACTCGGGCGCCGAAGGTTGAAGTCCTGGATGTGGTCGTTGAGAACCTGGCGCAGGATACGGCCGCGAGCAGCGTTGTCAATTTTGGCGCCCGTAACGTACGTGTCTTCGATACTATTGTCCGCAGCTTGGTAGGCACATTCTCGTAGTCTGTGGTACGCATTTGACACTCGGTCGTGCATCACCGTTGCATCAGCACCAATTAAGTTTTCGTTCGTGCAGAAGTTGTGGAGCTTCATGCACTTTTAATCACTCTACTAATGTTTTTGAAATCCACCACCAAGGGCTTCTTAAATATTTGCCACTTGTTCACGAGCAAACCGAACGCCATCTCAATCCGAATGCGGAGCTGACTGAGATAGAAATTAAAATCAGAGTCCTGCTTTGTCCTCAACTCCACTTTATTGTACGGCACCAGTAGTGAGTCTGATAGCGGGTAAGCGTTGTCTCTAACGCAGTAGTATCCAGGAGGTAGCTCCATGATTTCATCACTTAGTGTCCACTTCCTAAATGCGATCGAATCGCCCACCTTACCCGGCGAGTCAAAGCAGTACCCGGTGAACCGACACAGCGAGTCACAAATGGCTTGAGCATTTAAGCCGTACATATGGTAATGTCCCGAGAAAAAAGCAGCAATGTCGGGCACTTCTCGGCTGCTTGGTGCTCTAATCTGGAAGAGCCAACCGTCCAGACACCCCACACAGCCCGTCATGATACCATCCTTGCTGATCTTCGTAAACCCGGACGCGAGCTCTTCGATGGGCTGCTGGATTTGGTCGGAGAATGAATTCGTAACTCTTCACACTCACACAGCGCGTCCATTACAGCAGTGATCGCATCGTAAAAGCCCGACCGAGATACGCCAGCGAGGCAGCGCGTGGTGTGAAAGCTGCCCCCTGCCAGCCAGGAAATGGTCATCTGCAGCATGTTTTCGGGCGTGATCGGGTCCGTTCCCGTGCGCCGCTCAGACTGGATCTCGTCGCGCAGCAGCCCAGGTCTCACAGACGACAGCAGCTTGTCGAAAGATGCAGCGCTCATGCGGTAGCACTGCTCAAATTGTCCCTCCAACAGAAGTGTCTGCCAGTGCAGCCTCCAGTGCAGCCTCCAGTTCAGCCGCTTGCAAGACACGCAGTCACTAGGAGTGCCCCGTATCGAGGCAATGGCTGCCACCATTGCAGCCAGCTGTACTCGGCGACGTTTTCAAGCTTGGTGGGCCTTCACCATCCACCGAGGCACCTCGTACGCCTCCATCCACTCTTCACCTCACGTATTCGCGCTCGAAATGTGGAGCAACACCTGACGGTCTGTGTCGGATCGCGGTGACCCGAGTGGGCGCTCTGGATCGCACTGGATCGAGAGGTGATTGCTAAACACGTCGACAGCCCCAACCCTCCCCGTTTCGTTGATCAATAAGAGGGGGGGGTTTCGCTACCCGATCCGATCCCGGTTCGGGATGGCCCGTAGACTTGTATACTTTTGGCAAAGTTTAGGGTTTAATCATCGCGTCATATTCATCCAATCTAATCAATGCTTCCAGAAAAATGCTGTTCATATACACTGCGCGACAAATTGATATAGAAACTCAATGTTTTGCCCAAATCTCAAGGACTACCTAGAGTGAGTGGATGCAGCTTTGACGGTAGTAGCCAATGACCATAGGAAATAGATTGTATATGGCATCAGGGTCCCAAGAGCAGTGTGCGTTGGGTAATCTATAGATATAACTACATTTTGGTCCTTGACAGATCTTATGGACATCAAATATATAAATAAAAATTGTATGGGTGGAATGTAGTCATGAGGTGGCGAATATGGGAGTTTGTATGAAAGTGACGCGAAGCGCTTTTCGATGGGTGTTGTGAGGGCAACGCAGCAAGATAATAGCACTTGCTGGGGGTAAAGATCTGCTACTAAGCTGTATCGGTAGTGAATTTATTCACCTAAGGTTGCTGAGATGATCCCGTGGCTTGCCATGAAGAGAGGCGTAAACCAAACATACATTGTACCTTGATTACTATTTTTACATACAAAGCCGTATTATCAAACCGATAGTTACAGCCGAGGCCAATTGTCACCCTCCAACGTCCCACCGGGCGGTGAGACTGCACAGTTCCTCAAAAACATTTTGTACCAGTCAATACATACACTCTTTTGGCACTAAGAAATCGTAGCTGCTTTTTACAGTGTGCAGGAAGCTTCATCGTTTACATGTTTAATATCCCTTAGTCAAACTGTAAGCTTACCGGACGGAATGTATTGACTAAACAACTAAAGGAGTGGACACGAGAGAGTGTAGACGTCCTTCAAGCTCTAGCTAACAATAGTTACTTTTAATTTTGCCGAGCATTACACAGGCTTCCTCAATCTGTTGCAGGCAGTGTACTACAATACAACCATTCAACCGCAGCTAAGCACGGCTTATAAAATCACATATCTCTGTAAAATGACAAAAAAATGGAATCCGCTTGTCATCTTTCGGGTGCGATTACCATAATTAATGCTAAAAAGTAAAATTACGACACAGTTAAATGTTCCGTTTGTGAATGACTTGACTTGATTAATTCCAAAGTGATCCGGTTGTAAGAGCTGTTACTGTAGTAGTATTCCGGTCAAACACCTCTAGCTATGTGTACGCTGTCGCTATTCCTATAAATACTGCACCTTTATCAGCTTAATGGGCAGCCATCTGCTTTGAATTCAGCGCTGCCATTGGCCATAATCGAAGCTCGCTAAGGCCAAATCGCCTAGGACAGGGCGATGCGGTACAGTAACCAGTTTGTGATTGGTACAGTATGTACATGTCCTATTTCGCTTGCGTGTATTGTGCTTTCTACTCAAAATTTCCATGCGCGGTTCTTTGAATCAACGCGCAGCAAATCGCGCAACCCTATCTACATACATATTTTATGCTATGAGAAAGGTTTAGGCTCGCTTCATTCTCCAGATTGCAGGCAACATGGTTGTTGGCGTGGAGAGGCAGACACTGCTGTAACAGCGGCCAACAGCAGCCAAGACCGCAAGACATTACGCTCACATCAGACACCACCAGCAAACAGTCGTCGTAGAGATATCCAGTCAACGCCAGGATCAACGCCGTCTTCGACGCGCGTTTCCCCGTATCCGCTGCGAGAGCGAACACCACGTCAACTTCTATCGCCATCAGCAGCACCGGCCCATCAACAAGCTCGAGTTTCGCTTGATGCGTCCCCAGAGAGTGCAGCTCATCATGTAGCAGATCAGCATCGACTCCAGCTTGTGGTGCAGCCTCTCGTGAAAGACACCGTCGGAAGTCGGGACAGCTCAGCAAGAATGCTCGATGTTTTCGCTGCGAACGGAGCCACGCTTGGTGACATCATGCATAAAATTTGGGAACAGTTAAGCAGCCGTGTGAAAGGCCTAGCTGTAAAGGAAGATGATACCTGGTCAATCAACGAACCCACGGAAGCAGCGTGGTACAAGTCGATGCAATTCAAGTGGAACGGGCACCTTATTCCGCCTACTAAAACTGAAATAGCGTGGAATCGATGGCTGACCCAGCGACGAGATGACACAGTCACGTTACTGATCTACGAATATGGTCTCGACATTCCAAGTGCGCGGGCTCTTGAAGAGTTTAAGTATGCTCGCATACGTCCACAGCACACCGATCGTTCTGGTGCTGCTGCTGAAGCCTCTATTCGAGAGATTGTAGCGAAGCTGCAAGAGGTTTGGGGGGAAACCTACCAAGGTAGTGCAATGGCGTGGCGAATGTGGGCAAATGAGGTGATGCGGAACCTAGATCGCTCTACGTGGGAAGTAGATATTTATAATCCCCCAACTGCCACGGTCGAGCGTTTACTTCGAGCAGCTGATGGGGAAGCCGATATACATCTAGCCAATCTATCCAGATCCGCTCGACTGGCGCTTGATGTCGTTAACGGTGCCATTGCGGACAACCGCCAGTTGAAATACGATTGGGAGGCGTTTAGACGTCGCTTGGATAACCAGGAGAATGCGTTAAGAGCCCGCAGAGACACGCTCGAAGGCTTCCTTGAAGACATTCCGATTCCTCCAGTCACAGATGTGATCGATCCGACGCCAGCAATGGAGAGCGTGCCCGACACCGAACATGAACCGTAGTTCCAAACGTCACGACGTGTTTCAGCATTAGTCTTCCTCTTCATTTATTTGCCTCTTTATGAATCCCAAGTTTGAATCTACTTCTTCTTGAACGTTCCCTGTGCTGCTCGCTGCTCTTGATGGATGTCGCGATTCCTTCGACATTGGCCCGGTCGGGTCGAAATGCCCTTGGACCTTCCACCCGCAATGATCAAATACCTTTGACATAGTGAATTTCTCAAAACGATTGAATGTTTCCACGACAAATGGAAGCAGGTCTCTGCCGGATGACTCCACGTAATGGCGCTGGAAGAATTTCTTGATGTATCCAAACGTATACTCGATTGAATTGAAGAATGGGCAGTACGCAGGGAGGAATATTGGGACTACCCCAATGCTGCGCAGGAAATGAATAATACCAGGATCGCGGTGTATCGAAGCACCATCCAAAATCCAAACAGAATTGGAGCCAGGATACTGACGGACATTGCCTCGCGCCGAATAGGCAAAGTCTTGACAACATTGAAAAAACTCCACTCTATCAAACGCTCCTAGTGTGTTGTAAGCGTCAATGATGCCGGTCACCCCCAAAAACGCCAGTATGGAAATCCTAGGCTTACGCTGAAAATTACCTCGAATCGCGATTGTCTTCCCTTTGAGTGAGTAACCGCGCTTTCGAATCATCCCGCGGTTGTCAAACGACACTTCGTCAAGGAAAATTAAGTTACTGTAGCACCAGTTGATATGAGCAAGCTCGTCCACAAAGCGAAAAACATCCAGCTCTTTGATGTGCATTGCTCGCCGCTCGAGACCTTTTCTTGTCAAACCAGCGTTATGAATAAGTCTCCATACGGATGCCGTTGAGATGCTCAGGTGGTAGGCACGCACAAACGCATCTTGAGCCTCATCAAGGTAAGCTAACGGGTGATCAGCGAAGAAGTCGCATTGCCACTGTTGGTGGGCCGATGAGAATTTCCGAACAGTACTTGATTCAGCTCGCTGATAGGTTCCTGTGCTCTCATACACCTTAATCCAGTTCCCAATTGTCTTCACAGACTTTGCGTAGATTCGGGCAAGCTCTTTGCGCGGCAATCCAAGACAATAGAAACCATAGAGACAGTGAAAAACGGTATTTGGTTGGGCATGCTGTCTAAGAACGGCATCTTCCATCTTGAGGAACTTTGTTCTAGAGCAGAATAAAGCATATTCCATTATTACATTAGCAGTAAGGCACTCCATTATTAAGAAAGAAGAAGAATGCTCTTTACGCAGCATGACCCATAACAGTACCTTCGTCTGTCGACGCTATCTTCGAGGGCGCTCTTGGCGCGGATGCTCCTACCAGTGCCCTAACGGTGTGCTTTCTTGCCCTCACGAGGCGTGTAGTGGCGATCGATCGCAGAAGCAGAATCGCTTGAACAGGCTATGGACAACTGCATCCTTCCAGCAACCTGGGTACAATATTTCCTCCAATCAGATCACGCTGTCGATTTGATGTCGATTTGACGAAACCACACAAAAACGGCAAATTTGGGCAAAAAGCACAATAACATACACTGTTAGAGCCGGAAGTGGATCTACTAGATCTCGGAAGTGTATCCACTGGACTCTACTATTAATACAGATACTAAAAGTGGGACTTTACTACATGTATATAGTATCATACTATCTACATGTAGTAAAGTCCCACTTTTTCCGATTAGATGCACACAAGCACAACAAGGGGACGTTTATATAATGCATGGATTTAATGATAGAGGTACCCAAAACTATTGTGTGTTGGTGGCGCTTTTATAATTATTGACGAGCCTGTAATATGGAGTCAACCTCGAAGCAACCTTGCCAATGTCAACTGAGGGTAGACTAGTCACATAACTGATTAGTTCAACCAAGTACGACTCGGTATTTTTAGTGCCTGCCAGTTTCACAGATGGTCCGGGGAGTCCGTCAAACAACCGGCCCGTCTTTTTTGTTCGTGTGTTGTCAAAGAACACTCTCGGCCAAAATTATACGAACACCTACACAAGATGATGAAACTCTGTCAATTCATATCATGGTTAGATACGGATTTGACAGAGGTACCAGAACACGGTTGTGAGGACCTCCAATGCGCTAAAGCTCATATTTACGCATTCTATCGGGTAGCTACATCCGATTCGTATAATTTTGACCAGGAGTGTAGTACAGAAGTCCCTCTCAATAAGCGTAGGGGTCGTCTGATAAATTTGCATAGGTCAATCAATGCGATCTGGGGATTTGTTTTATTTCTCACACTTTCTGTGATCCTATATGAAGGGGTATATGAGACGCAAGTGACGCTTATTTAGGGGACTGTAGCACCGCATAATTATAATAATAGACACTTATTAATACTTGTTTGAAGTGGTTAGGGGTAGCGCCTGTATCGTACTAAGTGCAGTCGTACCGGCGATATAGTATCATACCGGCATACCCTTTTCGCATACAGAGGTTTATGCGCACCTGTTCGTATAGGTTTTGAATATTTATACGACAACTTATTGATTTGAGTGTGTTTATACCCTTTAAAAGGATTGGTCCAGCAGGAGATGAATCCTACACGACCGCGCAGAACGAGAGGGACACTCTATATGTCTCCTTGTCAAATATACTAGTACTCCTATACTACCTACTAGTGATAAACGATAGAGAGGTACAGAGGTTGGAGGAGGAGGGGGTCCTCAGGATCCTCCTGGTATTACATGTAGTGATTTGATAGCATGTGTTGCAAAAAGAATGGGGCTTTCGTTCCGATCACATTGTAACTTACAAGTTCAAGTTCTGAGGTAGACACCGATCGGAAAATTAAAACAGTCCATATCACGATTCATGATGTATCGCTGATTGCATCACGCAAAATTTGCGTGAGCTAAAGAATCGTAAGGTATCCGATACCGTAAGGTGAGCCTTTGAGCAAGCGTCACACCCAGTCTGGGCTGCGACAGCCGCAACAGCACCAGCGATCGCAGCAGGAGCAGCAGCGTCGACGACTGTACATAATGTTGTTTTAAATATCTCTCGAGTACATGTAGCTACCGGTTAAATACACTTTAAAACAATAATTACAGCTCGTTGATTCGTATATTCAGACAGCGACATCATCCACTAAAAAATGGACCACGCCACGAACAAAAAGTGTTTTGAAACAGCTTTCTGCACATCCATTTCTCTTTCCACATCACAGCCCCTGTGCAAAATGAATAGTGCACGTACTGGACGTATATGTACGTGACCAATCAATGCTCACGCATGTAGAATGCAGTTTATAAAATACTAGTACTGACTTACTAAGTAAGCTCCATTAATATATCCAGTTTATTTAAGCTTATAATGTGCTTTTCAACCGGCCATGCTCGATATAACCATAAAACGGACCTTCAAAGCACAAAAACAACAAATACGTGTTATATTGTATACTAGATACTTCATTATCATTCAACCTCATCGTCACTTTCCGATTTCTTCTCAAGTGTCAAGACCAAAAGAAACAATCCGATGCGTCTGCCTTACGTATTACTGTTAGCGGTAAGTATTGCTATCTTTTCGTGTACTGCTGCTGCATCTGAACAAGAAGCTGCTGTCACGCTGCAAGCTAAACGCTGGGGCTCACTGCACCCCGCCACTGCCCCTGGATATCGTGACACGTCTGGCAGAAGGCTCTTAAGGTCTGATGACAGTCTCCCGATAGTTGACGACGACGACGTCAACACTGAAGAGAGAGGCATCGCATCATTTACCAAGATAAACGAGATGATCAAGAAAGGAAAATCGGCAGTGAGCGCCAAAGCGAGCAACAAGATGCTGTGGCTCAAGTATCAAAAGTTGCTCGGTCAAAAGCTTTCGGACTTGGACATCACCGGAGTTTGGCTAAAGCAAGGAAAATCTGCGGATACCATATTCGAACGCTGGATTCGACTTTCGAAGTCACCGAGACAAGCGGCCACAAACTTGCTGAACCATGGTACAACTGCGAACGATCTTTACAAGGTCTTGAGAAAGCAAAACATGAACCTGGAAACGATCAGACCACTTTGGCACAAAGTTGGACTGACCGAGCTTCAACTCCGTGCCGCCCGTGCCAAGGCTATTAATAGCGTTTTGTGAGTTCGACACACTTGATTCAGCGCTGGCAGGTGTGTGTGAGAGAGAGAGAGAGGAGGCATACACAAAACGTGCTCGATAACTTCGATAATGTAAACCACGAGGTTTGATTGAATTTTGTGGGTGAGAAGGTATTGTAACAAGTTGATGACGTGGTCTACCGAAGATCTTTCGGAAGAGTGTACGTTGGCACGTAGCCAGCGTCAACGTGCAAAGGGTGCGACCAAAGGGCGGAAGGAGTCCAACGGATTCAACGGACACACGGTTAGGACGGAGATCGCAGACGGCGAGCCGTCGCGACCGGTGGCGTTGGACGGCAGGAAGAGCAAGGACGTGAGTACTTCCGAATTTGCAAAGGACGAGACAAGTAGGTCGAAGAGTGAGACGAGAGACGAAAGACGGTCGAGGGCTGGAAGTACAGTCAGCGACAAGACAAAGACGAACGAAAGGGCTGTTGAGGCACAACGTGTGGCTGACAGAACGTACGGGGTTGTGGTGGACGCACTGCAGTACCGCGAAACGGAGAACAAGTAGGATCCAAGGAGGAGAACGTACGGACAAGCGGAGCGACGTACGGTGAGACCAGACAGGGGAAGTAGAGTACCCGATGTCGCTGTGGTGGCCGCGCACGAGTAGGGTAGGCGCCGTGGGCGTACGCCCAAGTGGCTTTGAGATTGAGCGTGATCTGGATCGCATCGGGACGTCACGGTGCTTCGGCGAGAACGGGGGTGATCTGACTAGGAGACTATCTGTTCAGGGACAGAGAAGGAAGGACGAAAACGAAGAACGAACCTCTATTAGCTTACGTAAGGTTAGCTAAGGAGAAGGAATACAAGAAGTAGGAGCCAAAGGTTCCGGCACAGGGCTCAGTGGAGCATCGGTTGGCCAGTGACGTCTTCGAGGACTATCAAGTAAACAACTACGGACTAGGGACAAACAGCGCAGCAGGCACATAAACTATACGATTTGCCCAGCGAGTCGGGCAGGAGGAAAAGCAAACTCGTTACATGGTGGTCATACAGGGGCTATCTCAGAGCAACGAAGAGAGTTCAGAAAGACAGGAAAGCAAACGGGCTAGTGGTTACGCCGGGTTACGAAGGTTACTGGGTACGAAAATGGTTACTGCTGCGACAGTCACTACTCTAAGGGCCGTTCCGAACCAGGATCGCACGGATCGCGATCCGGAGTGAATAGGGGGAAATAGGTGAAATCGCGATCTGGTCGTTCCGAGCCGGATGGCGCTCCACCGACAACTCGTGTACCAATTCTCGGGTACATCTACACGAAGTTGCATTTGGCAAAAGCAACATGGCGACAGCTCTAACAAGCTCGAAGTGGTCTGTTACCGCACCGCAGAGCGCTCGCAAGCGCACTATCCAGCCGCCGACATCTGAGGACTATGCTGACTGGACGTTAGACCAGCTCAAACTTGAATGCACCGCGCGTAAGTTGAACGTAGTCAAGAATACATGTAAGCAAGACCGCGTGAAGCTCCTCTCTGCCTGGGATACAAACAAAGACGGTGTTGAGCTTCTGATCCGCCAACAGCGTAAGAGAGCGACTAGCTCACGCGAAGAAGAGGTGAAACGGACGAAGAACTGCATGTTCCGCCTGCTAAATGTGCTGTTTTCCGATCGCTTCTTTGATACATTCTTAAAGACTGGACATCAGCTGCGCCGTGAAGAGCTGGATCAAGATGGATCTACATTCTGGACTGACGTAGCAACGGCATTTGGATCTGACAACAACGAGTTTGACACGCTAATCTCCGACGATGCGGTTTTTGAAGGCATCGATCCTTCGGTTGTGATGGCACATTCAGCTGCAAAACTCCAGCGAATGTGGAAAGAAGCAAGCAGCAACTTTGCACGAGCGGAAGCAGGATCCAAAGTATCGGGTCAAAATGGTCAAGACTTCTAGGATTATTGCAATGGACGGACAGATGTCTATTACGTGGATCGGTGGTGTGAGCACCGCCAAGCAGGAAGAGAATTTTGCGCAGCCAACGTTTATGCAGACAACGACTCGACAAAAGAAGGTGACCAACAAAAGAATACAGCACAAAACCGGAAGCGACGCAAATCCTCAAATGCAAACGTCGTTGCCGACCTACTGAAATCAGTACACGAACTTCTAGAGAACGAGACCAGCAAAGCACAAGAAGATACGTGGTTGGAGCAGAAATTATTTATTCAACAACAGCGAGCTACTCACAAGCTCTCGACACTAACTGCGATGCTGGACCGAAGTATGACGGCGATAGAGCGCTTGAAAGAGCTTCGACGCGAGTATATCAGCAAGGGCATTGATGCGTCAGCAGTTGGCCTTGAACTGGCAGGCCGAGAACAAAAGAGGCTGGTGCTGTTGACGAGCTTGAGTACGAAGTGCTGAGCGGGTTTCTTTGAAGCGATTTGTGGTTAGCGCACGCGGGGGCGTCTGAGGTTAAAATTCTGGATGTGGCTCACGATCACTTGACGAAGTATGCGACCTTGGGCATCGCTGCGCAAATCATCCGATTCGTAGTTGTCTGTTGGCTGGTATGAGCTTTCAGGGAGATTATGGTACGCTGCTGAAACAGCGTGAAGACTAGTTGTTGTGTTCTCAGCTTTTATTCTTCGATTGATGCAGAAGTTGTGAAGCTTCATACACATTTTAATTACGCGGCCAACGTTCTTGAAGTCCACGACAAGTGGTCGCTGAAATATTTGCCACTTGTTCACCAATAATCCAAATGACATCTCGATACGAATGCGTAGTTGGCTGAGATAAAAATTGAAGTCAGAATACTGCCTGCCCTTCAACTCCAACTTGGTAAAAGGCACAAGTAGCGAGTTCGATAATGGGTACGCATTATCACCAACGATATAAAACCCAGGTGGCAGCTTCATGATGTCCTTGCTCAGCTTCCACTTTTTGAACGCGATGGAGTCGCCCACCTTGCCGGGAGAATCGAAGCAATAGCCCGTGAAGCGGCACAACGAGTCACAGAGAGCTTGTACGTTTAGACCATACATTTGATAGTGTCCAGAATAAAACGCAGCCACATCAGGTACCTCTTTTGCGCTTGGGGCTCTAATTTGGCACAACCAGCCGTCAATACAACCCGCATAACCGCTTAATATCTTGTCTGTGCTGATGCTGGAAAATCCGCCTGCTAATTCCTGGATTCGATCCTCTGATTCCACGGGTGAGCGAATGCGAAGCTCGGGACACTCGCAAATCGCGGCCATGACCTCGTGTATCATGTCGTAAAACCCAGAAACCGAAGTACCGGCGAGACCACGAGTAGTGTGATAATTACTTCCTGCTAGCCACGAAATTGTTATCTGGAGCCTATTTTCTGGCGTGACAGGTTTGATACCCGTCCGTCGAGATGACTGGAGGTCGTCACGAGCGAGAGCAGGTCGCAGCAGTAGCAAGAGGTGCTCAAACGACTCCACATCCATCCTGTAACAGCGCTGGAACTGTCCTTCTAATAGTAGGGTTTGCTTGTACACAGGCCACTCCAACCGTCTACGCTTGATACATTGGCCTTGGCCAGGGGGAAGAGCAGCAAGAGATCCAGCTATCAGCAGTAGGCAGCGACGGCGGCTAGCAACAGCTTTTCTCGGGCCCTCTGTCCAACTTGCGAGAACATTCATCTTCTTCGCTGCGATAAAATCCGAAGATCCAGCCCTGCTTGCAATCCCAAGGTCAGATCGCAGCGATTGTCTAATCAAGAAAGTTACCCTTATCTCGACTCTGAATTGGCCAATCACAGAACGTTCCTGGGATTGCAATCCCGGTTCGGAACGGCCCTAAGTAAGAAAGCGCAGAAGGCGCGGCGAGTCAGGAAGGCCGGCGAAGAAAGTTCACTCAGCAGCACGGACTCCGAGTCTGGGCGTCCAGTGACGAGAAGCCAAGGCGTACGGAAAGTGGCCGTTCCAGTGAACACACAAAAGAGAGAGGACAAGCGGCAAGCAGCCGGGCAAGCGGTGGATCAGGTAGAATCGAAGCCGGTGAAGATCAAACGGAGAGCGTCGGCGAATCAGCAGCGATCGACCTCGAAGAATAAGGATGTCAAGGAACTCGGACGGGTCATAGCCACCGATGAGAAGGACTGCACGCGGAGCCGCGAAGCGGAAGCGAGTGGCGAAGATGCAGCAGGAACGCAAAGTAAGGATACGATGGGTATGGCAGCCACAATGCAGCGACGGACGAGGGCCGTAGCCGAGCTACAAGCGTCAACCAAGGAAGTCCGTGGAGCTGACAAGGAAGAACAACATGGGCGGGCACGTGGGAAGTATCGACGCCGCGTACAGAAAGTGCGTCGTGTGCCCAGTGAGGATGGAGAACCCAATGAACAAAGCAATGATGAGGATCAACATGGTGCTGAATTAATGGCCAGTACAGCCGTGAGTGGCGGCACTGCACCAAGCAACCACGTGGACATGACAGCGATGGCGTCCGCCATACAGACGTTGAAGACCGTGGTCGCGAAGCTGCAGCCTGCTCCTTCGAGAACCCAGAGGTTCCAAGCTGGTCGACGGGTATTGCGACGCAGTGGATCACGTGCTGGTGAAGCGCGTCACAATGGTGATAGTGGAGACAGCGGTTCGTCGGACTGGAGTACTCCTGATGACAACGATAGTGGAGTCGACTACAGCGGGGTGAATCCAGATGGTGACGGCAGTAGCGGAGACGACAGTAGCGAGCCAAGTGAAAGTTCGAGCGCCTCCAGTGATGGGTCAGCCGAGTCTGATGAGCAACGAGGGCGTCACGAAAGCCGACGGCGACACGAAAGACATGGGCGACATGTACGAGGAGAACGACGGAGGCGTCAAGTCCAACGGGGACGACATGGAGATGATGAAAGCCAATCCCGTCGCAGGAGCGTGAAGGACCTAGAGTCGCCGACCTTCACCCCCTCGCCAAAGGTCTCTGTCTCGACGTGGATAGACAGGGTGGAGTTAGCCTTGAAGGGAGCCGCTGAGTCTGGACGTGGGAAATGGTCAGACCATGCG